TTGTCAGCATTTCTGTTGAGGATTGGCAACGAGGGTGGGGTGGGGGCTGTTTGGTTTGGTTTGGTGATTGCAGCAGGTTTTGGTCACTTCACATGACCCTGGGCCATTGTGACCATCATAAATATGAATCAGTTGCCAAGTATCTGAATATTAATCACAAGACCCTGGAGATGCTGCAACATTCCAGCTGATCGGCACTTCTTCTGGGCTCAGCAGAAGTACCAGGATCAGTGCCGAGCTCCAGCTGGAGCCTGGCGCTGATCCTGGCACTTCCGCTGAGCCCTGACAGTCCTGCAGCTCCAGCCATCTCTCGCTCAGGCTTGTGCCGTGCTGCCACCGGTTCAGCTCATTCCCCTCCCCCACTACCACTTTTCTAGGATGGTCGCGTACCACCTGCCAGGTGCCAATGTACCACAGGTGGTACCCGTACCACTGGTTGAAAAGCCCTGTTCTAGAGGACCTCAGGGTTATCTAGATGGGGGAGAGATAGATAGAAAATAGTCTCTTTTGTTTGGGGTGTGTTAGGCAAGCCAGCAAAGTCAAATTAGGTATGTTCTCAATTTTTGACATACTAAGTCCAAATGATTCACCACCACTCATCTATGCCTTCCCACTTGGCTATCCCATCTCTTCAAAACAGTGTACTGAAAAGAAAAGCTTCAGCAGCTAAATGCCTGAAGTAATGTGAGCCGCTCTTATCCCATGGTGTGTAAAGCAGGCAGCAAGTTAAATGTGTGAAAGGATGTAACATTTTCCATCCCAAAAGCAGTTGCAAAGGGGTCCAAGTAAAATTGGAAAAATTATACTTGAAGAGTATTTTTTGTATCTTCCCCCTACTGTTGCATTTCTAATTGAAAATTAATCTGCCTCCCATACTATCTGTTAGGCTTTAAATGGCAATTTGTTTCATAAGGGAAGGGCAATGAAAAGCAAAAAATCTGGAAAAAAAACCTGCCCTGCATGTTATATTTTTATTCCTGCTTATAGTACATTAACCCTACACCATTTTTTTTACCAATTCATGAAAAGGGGAACAAAAGAGGAAAGAGGGAAAGAATTTCTTTAAAAAGTGTACTGTGTAGCAGAAATGATTTGTGCTTATCTTATTAAATTCATGAAATCTCTCTCTCTCTCTTACACTGAATTTACTTCATGTGCAAGACAACATTTATAGAACTTATAAAACAATAGCACTTCCTGAAATAGTCAAGTGATCATGCAGTGTTCAGTGGTCACATAATCATTTCATATACAGCAAAGAAAAGCTGTGTATGCAAATCCTATCTGTACATATAGACTTCCTTTCCTGCAGGATAATTTCCTAATCAATGTGTTCAAATGATTTTGCAGGCTTTTTATAAGTGTAGAGCAGCATTTTACAACCTCAGCAGATTTAAGATGCTGGCTGGGAAATTTTGTAAGTTGAAGTTCATGCAGAGGGATCCATGAGAAAAAAATGAAGAGATAACCTTGAAGAAGAGGTGCAGGAAAAGTTGAAGCAAAATTAAAGACAATTTTGTTTTGGGAAAAAGAGGGAGTATAAGAAACACACTTAAAATAATGATGTCTTGACCTTGTTAGATTTAAGAGGGAGCAGAAGGAAACTGTCTATAAGATTCTGTCATTAATCCTACAACAAAATAGCATTCCCGTACATGTTGAGAAGCACGAAGAATCAGAAGCAAATAGTGAATCTAAATAAAGGAGCAAAGTTTAGCTAAAAGGCCAATGCCTGCATAGATTTTTAAGACTACTGTGAAAAAGAGTCAGCTAAAAAAATATGTGACAGATTAAGAAAAAAACCAGAAGCAAAAATATAAACATGTAAAATTAGCCAAAACAGCATTGCTGAAAGCAGGAAGAATTGTTTCTCTTTTTGAAAGAAAGAATAATTGTAACCCAGACAAAAGAAAATATTTATAAAGTAGTTTGTGAACTGTAATCCGCAAAAATTTAGGCATTGATAAATTTGTTAACCTTTCATGTGCCAGAAGTATGTTATTTTTTCCACAAGGCACTAATACAACCAGCATTTTACAAATGACTTGACAAGCAAGGCAAAGAGGAATTTGAAGAGCAAAATGCCTGTGGATTTTGAAAGCGCCTTTCCTTTCACCTTCACATTCCTTCCCCTTCTTGGCAGGAGCCAAGAATACTTGCAGCTAAGAGAGAACCAACTTATAAGCATTGCTAATGAAAAAAAAAGCAGTGAAGGAGCCATAATAAGACTATCAAAAATGGAGACCTAGGTTGACATTCTTTACAGCATCTGAATTTCATCTCATGCTCCAGACAGTTCCAAACCTTGCTTAAACCTTCCTTCAGGATAACCAGTCTCTTAAACATTTTATTGTTAAAAATTACTTTAAACTCTGCTCTTTATGAAGTGTATATTTATGCATGTCTCTCTCTCTCTCTCTCTCTCTCTGATATTACACATTAATAAAAGACTCTAGAAATTCCTCTCTGGTTGGATGGATGATGTCATCTCCATTGAGGAAATCAGCTTCCCGCTTTCCTTTGTTCTGGGATGACATCATTTCAGAGCTCTTCAGTTTTATCCCCTTTCCATTTTCTCCCTGCTGAGTTTCAGCAAAGCTGCTTGCTTCCCATAAACCCTCTCTTTCCAATGTTGCCAGGATCCCCTAATATCCCCCTTCCCCCTTACCCACCCTTTGAATACGAAATGTGTCACCAGTCTAGCCAGAAAGAGAAAGAGATGATAAATAGCTGCATTTTGTAAGGCTGCCCTGGAAAGGAGTTAACTTTCAGATATTGTGTAATTCATACAACAGCTCAAGCTAGCCAGGGACCTGGAGGCAATTCCAGCTGCTTCAGGGACAAATTTAATAATGCAAAGTGATTAGGCAGAGAGGGGAGCTGCAGCAATTTAATTACTGTTTGCATCAGCTTCACATTCTCTGCAAGGATTATATGACTATTACCCTTTCATAGCTCAATCGGCAAAGTTACATTAATGTTTCCTAACTTACATAAAAGGCAGATGTAAACCAATGATAGTCATCTTAATCAAACCACATTAATGCTCGTTTGGTCAGGAAAGCGTGTATATCTTATGGTACTCAGGTTCTGAAGGATGGTTGTAGCCCTAAAAATAACTGATAATTTCCAGGGCTACTCCAAAATCTAGGTGCTGATTTTTAAAACCTGAATAACTTAGAATCAGAGACTTCGGATCCTAAATACGAACCTAAATAATAGCACCTAGTTGATCTTGAAATTGTTTCATCAGCTTGGATCGCCAAGAATTTCTTAGAACTGTAGACTAGACTTGAGGGCTTGAAAATAAGCATCCCAGAAGTGATGAGTAACTTCCATATTGTTGTAAAAATAAAAACCACACAAAACCCCTAGGATAATTAGGAATCAATATCAAGGGAAATTACTTCTCCAGCTCTATATACTTTGCCTAACATCTGTTTATTACCAAAAATCATTTTCCAATTAAAGTTAGGTGGGTATTTAAAAGAGACAAAATCTTTTCAATTTTGGCCTTGCTTTGTGACATGCCTACTAGCTTTTCAATACCAGGTTGAAGCATTCCATATCTTCCAGGCATTTGAAGAGCTAAAGTCATCTGTAAAATCAAATTGGTCTGAGATTAATTGCCAGCTTATTGTGGGATAATAGTATAATATATTTTAAGATCTGTAATATTTGTCATTGTTTATAGCATCTAAATTCTTGGATCCTGTTTATTTTAATATTTTTAGATAGCTGGGTGATTTTCCACAGAGAATTTTGATTATCAGATAGATCACAGCGATAAAAATAACAACAAAAGGTTCAAAGAAAGATATAATTGCTAAAATTATAATAATAAATGAATAAATGAACAATAAACAAACAAATCCACCGTTATACAATTACATTTTCTGGAAACTAAAATGGAAAAAGGTCACAGCTCTCAACTGACAGTAAGAAGCATGGACCTGCCTATCAGAGCAAAGCTTGTACATTGCAAGGAAATATTAAATTTCCAACAGCTCTCATTACCAATGACAAAACTCAGCTGCGCTCATATCTTAGCAGATGGCCATATTCATCACCAAGACATGCTAGGCTTCTTCTGTTCATCCATGGCAGGGGTGTCAAACTCGCAACGTCACGTGACATGTCGTGATATATCGCAACTTTCTCCCCATTGCCGGAGCTGGGGTGGGCGTGGTTTCGGCATGACGCATCCAGCCCATGGGCTAGCAGTTTGACACCCCTGGTCTATGGGTATGAACCACTCTATCAAAAATTCAAGTAGAAAGATCCTTCAGGATCATGTGTATTCCAATGTTGGCAGAAGAGTATGGTACTCTTCCTATCAACTGATGTCCTTCACCACAACCCTTCCCCACATCCCCAACAACATAGCATCATACCAATATAGTAATTCTTCAAGCATTTCTGGGTGGGAGAACATTGCACTACTAGTCTTTACATTTTGTTCCTCAATGCCAACATCAACTGAAATACTTTCCACTTTATAAGCAGCTGAAGTAATCATATGAGAGAAGGGCATTTCAGCTCAAGGCTATCTTGTCATGACTTTTTAAAAAAATTGTTGGCAGCCCTAATATAAATCTGTAAGAAAGTTTATAATAATATGATAATCCTATACTATGCTATGCTATACTACGCTACGCTACACTACAGTGGTTGTCACTATTAACGCTACTTTTAAAATATTTTTAAAATGTAACATTGCTGTTACATTTGTATTGTATTCCTAATTATGAGAGTGCATAGCTGTCTATGACATTTCTTTTCCTAACCAAAAATTGTTATGGCCAAGCCCTGACATAAAATTGTTAGATAAAATTATCACAATTACCGGAAATATAAAACAAAAATTTTAAAACTGAAACAAAAAGAAAGCAACTCACATAAAAAAAAAACACATTACAGACTTAACTCAGAGGATGGTTTCTTGCTGATTTGGGACAGAAATCATTACTGCCAAATTCCCAAATATCAATATGCCTTACCATTTACTTTCCATAGCATCTGAAATCCGGTAGACTCATCTATTTGATCAGAAAAAAACACCACATGAAGACTGGAATTTGTGGTACCTCCAGATGGAAGAACATTAATTCCACAAAATGTGCCAATCAAACTGGATTGAGCATTAGGGCCATCATAAAGCTGAAAAGAAGCAGAAAAAATTATATGTGAGATGCTGATTATTTTTAAAAAATATCTGACTACAGTAAAAAGGATCACGATTAAAGTATATGCTCTCTCTAAGTAGGATCTACTTGATGTTTCCATTCTTTTCATCGTATGTCTCACGTCTCCATCGCTGGCTTCCTAGTCTTTCAACTGCCATAAAGCAAATTTTTGCAGCAAGGAAACATTTTGTAGTAATGGAAGCTCCCTGCTAGGGAATTCATATTCCCACTTCAGGGAAGATGCCAGCAATGGATCTGTTGATATGACAATGGGTAGGAAGAACGCATGCATTTTCCCCTCCATTTGAGTAAGTAGCATAACATCCAAAGAGGACACCAGTAATATTTGCAATTATTGCAAATGTGGACTCCAAGATACATCATTGGCTCACTCAATTGGAATAAAAAGCAGAATATAGAGAACTCTTCAATTGCTTGAAAATATTGGTTGTATCCCTGAACCAATGTTCTTGTTCTGCATTAATTTCTCATTTAGACATTAAACTTGGACTCCAAAAGAAAAAGTGTCAGAATTGTTTCTCCTTACTGAAAAAGTACCTGTGTAAATCCAGCCCTTTTATTTTATGGATACCACTAATATAGAACTAGAAATCACTTATTTTCCAGCCACCAGATGCCCTGGGGAGAGGTGTGTGCTCAGAATAATATTATGCAGTCCATCTTAATGGAAATTAAGCGGCGGAAGCTCCAGCTCCAGCCCTGTCCTCCTTCAGCCCCGGCTCTTCAGTGGAGGGCCTGGTATGGCCCAGAAGACCTAGATGGTGACCTGTCTTCGGCCATTGGAGGCTTTGGGGACGACCGGAGGACACAGGAGACGCGGCCCGGCCTCGTCTCTGGTCGGAGGCCTGGAGGATCCGGGCTTTGGCCCCGT